GGCAATGAAAGGTGGAGGAAGTACAGGCAAGAATTCACTTTTGGATGTTTTCAGTTTCTCAGACATCCTAGTTTGGATGAGGAGGTGTCAGCTGGAGCTCAGAGATGAGAGGTACTTAAGTTAGTCACTGACATGCATATATAGGAAAGAAAAACTCTGAAGTATTCACCATGTAATCTTCCTATATGTTAACCTTCCAGATATATATTAATTGGCTGGAGTGTAAACACATAATCTACAAATAGCTGTCTTCAATTGTCACACACACACACGAAAAGACATGAAAAAGTGATGGCTGACTTTTTTTTTTTTCTTCATTTAGGTCTTTTTTTTTCAGATTTAATTTTGAACACCTTTATTGTAAAAAAATATGGGTAATGCAGAAAATCATGAAATGAACCTTATCCATTGGTAAGCATTAATAATTTTTCTTTCTTTTATCCCTATTTCTACTCCCAAAATAAATGTTTTCTTTAGATATTTAGGTTATTTGGGCTCCTGTTATTTCTTTATATTTTAATGATGCTTCCTTTCACTCATTCACTTGTTGCTTTTTATTTTTCATCAATTTTTAATAACTATTTTTAATGTGTTGCTGAGGATCAAACCCAATGCCTCACATATGCTAGGTAAGTGCTGTACCACTGAGCCACAATCCAGCTCTTCTTGTTGCTTTTTAAATTAAGCTAAAATGTATAAAAGTTTGCCCCCTCCACTACTTTGTAGTGCTGGAGATTGAACCAGGGCCTCATGCATGCTAGGCAAGTGTTCTGAGTTACACTCTTAGCCAAAATTTTGCCATTTTAATCACTTTTAAGTATATAATTTGGTGACATTATTTTCATAGTGTTGTACAACCATCATCACTATTTCCAAAATTTCATCACCCCTAACAGAAACTGTAACCAGTTAAGCGAAAATTCCCTATTTTTCCTTCCTTCCAGTTCTTGGTTGCTTCTCTACTTTCTGTCTCTATGGAATTTTTCTATTCTAGATATTTCATAGAAGTAGAATCACATAATATTTGGCCTTTTAGGCCTGGTTTCCTCTAAGAAGAGATATAAATTACACTGTGCTCAGGCTCTTACCAACTATGCTAAATCACCTCAGTTAAAAGTCAACTAATATTAGGGCACCACTCTATCATGAGAAAAGCCATTGTCTTCCATCAGCAAAATGTCTGAAAATAGGATGGGCATTTATCTGTCCAATGAAAGTCATAATCCTGACATTTGATGGTGCCAGATGTCTGATTCTAGTCAAAGATCAATTGCTTTCTTACTGCTTTTCATTTATCTATTCACTCATTTTTTGGGTACTAGAGATTACAACTGAGGCACATCCCAGTCCTTTTTATTTTTTTGAGACAGGGTCTTGCTAAGTTGCTGAGGCTGGCCTTGAACTTGCAATCCTCCTGCCTCAGCTCCCCAAGTTGCTGGGATTACAGGTATGGGTCATCATGCTTGGTTCTCACAGCTTCTTTTTCAACAATGCAGTCTGGATCTATTCTTACCTTCCTTCCTTCTCTAAAACGTCCAACAGGGTACTTTCAAATGTTTTGTAACATTACATGAACATCCCCTTGAGTAATATGGACAAATGTCCAAAGATATGTCATAGGAACCATTTGTCCCCCCTTTTTAATCTATGGGATTTTGTTTTAACGATTCATAAAGACACTAACCTTTCAGGTAGATTTAAGGATACTTTTTATTTAATGTAATTTTGTTTGTGTTCTGAAAACCAAGGACATTGAAGTATACAATCTCTGTTGAATAGAGTACTGTGTACATGTATCTTTGTTTTGTCTGAAAATAGCTCTTAACCTTCATCTTCTCACAGCTTTAGTATGTGGGCTTGCTCTGTATAGTTCTCTCTGTAAGAGATAACGGGATCAGTTCTGACAGGTGTGCTATTGGAACAATATCCCAATTTTCTTAATTCCCTGGATCTCATTACAGCATCATTTCCGTGATACTCCTTTGTCTGAGTCTATGGAGAAAACAAAGAAGTAATTAATTTTTGCAATAGGAAATGGGACTTGAAAAGGAAATGTTTTCACCTGAGAAATAACAAAATTTTTACCTGGTAATTTAGTGGCAGGCCTGGAACTCCAGCCCACATCTTCTAGATACTGTAGGAAGTTAAAAGTAGTGATTCCCAACTAGGGAGATTTTGCCTCCCACCCCTGCCTGGTACATTTGGAAATGTATGGAGGGTTTTGTCATAAATGGTAGGGAGGGTACAAGTCATCTGGAGGCCAGGATGATGCTAAACAATCCTACAATGCACAGGATAGCTGCTGAAACAGTTATTCAGCCCAAAATGTCACTGGTGCCTTTGTTGATAAGTCCTGTTGTAGAGTATTGGAAACTGAACTTGAACCCTGCTCTGTATCTTACTCTGTATCCTTGGGAAGTGACTTCATTTCCCGGAAACTGCCTTCTCATCTGGAAGAACAAAATGGCCACCACCATAAAACCAACAGACAAAAAAAAACAAAGCCTATATTTCAAGGTGGTTGTGACAGATCACTTCAAAAAGCACTATACAGTGGAGAGCATCTGATGGGCCCAATAAATAAAAACTCAGGACCATCCCATGGAGTTCAATCATAAGACAAGATGGAAGCAGTGATAGAAAGACAATGTCACTGAAATGAAAAACAAGGTTCCTCACTTTCCTATTGGCCTTTACAGAGAAAAGAGTAAGAGAGGTTAATGAAAGGTTTAAGAGAACCAAACAGCACTGAGGAGAGGCAAGGAGATAAGACTGGAGACAGGAAGTAATGAAAGGATTGTGTAGGTGAGTGACTTGGAGATGCACTTGAGAGATGTTTAGGCTGAATTATAAGAACTTGGTAAGAAATTTTATATAAGGCCATGGGAGAAGAGTCTAGAATAAATATGAAATTTCTGATGTGGGTGCTTGGGTGTTGGTGATACCATGCAACAAGATAATGAAATCAGAGGACGGGGAACATAATAAATTCAGTGTAGACATATTAAGTTTGGAATGTCTGTGGGCCATCTAGGTGATAGTCAGAAGGGGACAGAATTTTTAAAGCAATCAAAGGAGGCAGAACAACAGAAAGAGAATAATAGAGTTTCAAGAACACAAGTACAACTGTAAGAAACGGTGGAAAAGCTCCATAAACTCAACAAGCCAAGACAACCGTTTACCTGTCCGAGATTTTATTAGCAGGACTGGAGAGAGAGAGAGAGGAAGAGAGGGGGAGAGTAAGAGAGGTAAAGTAAGAGAGAAGAGGGGGAAGAGAGGAGAAGGGGAAGAGAGGAGAGGGGGAAGAGAGAGAGGAGAGGGGAGGGGGGGAGTGAGAGGGAGAGAGTAAGAGAGGGGAGACTAAGAGAGTAAAAGAGTGAGCACGAACAGGGTGTTGATATTTATGGGCTTAACGCAGGATGAGGAGGAGCAATGCGAGTGGGCTGTTACTTCTTCATTGGCCAAGAGTTCGCACCACTTCAGGGATTGGAGGTGTGCCATTCAAAGTTCGCGCCATTCACAGGGATTGGAGGTGAGAGTTCGCGCACCATTCAGTGCGTCATGGACCTGAGCTCCTAGAAGAGAAACACTCTGGGCACCATCTTTACCAACAATCCTGAGCTCCCGGAAGAGAAGCGCTCAGGGCGCCATCTTTACCAACAACGACATTGTCACAACACCAAAAAATTAAATGACATCCAAAGAATCCAGAAGATTTAAAGTGATAGTAGTAATTGAGAAGTACAATGGTGAGCAAAAAAAGTAGACTCACTGAATTTAAGGGTAATTGTTGAGAAAGGTAGAAAAAAGGGATAAAAGAAAGGTTGACAGATAATGCTATGAAGATCCTCTTCCCTCAACTAAAAAGACAGCACATACTTACTTGTATGCTGAGAGATGAAGGACAGGAGAGGTTGAAGACTCATAATACACAACAGAGAGAACAGATAAGAATGGGATGCAAAGCTGAAATTGTTATTTTGAGGCAAGGAGGAGACTGATCCCTCCAAACTAGGTAGAAACAGTAAGTTGGGTATTTTAGTCAGCTTTTTCATGGCTGTGACCAAAAGACCTGACAAGAACAATTAGAGGAACAAGTCTATTTGGGTGAATCACAATTTCAGAGGTCTCAGTCCACAGATGGCTGACTCCATTTCTTGGGGCTTGAGGTGAGATTGTACATCATGGTGGAGCAGGGTGGTGGAGGGAAACAGCTCAACACATCATGGCAGGAGGGGGGGGGGTTGAGGGGAAGGGAGACAGACACATACCACTCACCAGATATAGAATATATACCCCAAAGGCACAACTCCTCCCACCACACTCTACCCACCTTCAGTTACCACTCAGTTTTAATCCCTCTCTCATAACCCAACCAGTTCATCTCTAAGCCTTCTTGCACTGTCTGAGCTTTTGGGGGACATCTCACATCTAAACTATTACATAGGGTGTGGGTGTAAGTCTTTCTGGAGAGAAAGGAAGCAGGAGTTTCACAAAAGTTCACATTGGAGATTTTCCCCTTGTATTTTCAAATTGTAGGCAAGCTCAGGGGTGTGAAATATAGGAAGTAGGAGCATATAAGGACAGGGAATGGTGCTTAAGGATTGGAGAGGGTTACTAACAAATTAGAGAAAGTGAATAGAGACTACAGATTCAATAATCTGGCAAGGGAAGGATATGTAGTTACCAGGTTCACCCTTGGATTCATATCTAGATCTTTTCTGATTAATAATATAACCCCTCTATTTTTCTAGAGAAATAGTAGAGACTTTTGCCAAGAAGTATTGTTTGAAAATGGGGTTGAGTGAGGGTACAGCAATAAAATAAAATTCCAAATTAAAGTGCGAATGGGATCTCAGTTGTGTCCATGGATCAGTTGTGTCATCTCCTTTTGGAGTTTATCTTCCAAAGTTGCTCAAATAATTAACAGAATAGAAATTCATGAATCACAATAAAATTGTTTTCTTTCACAGAGTCTTGCCTTTTTGTGAGCTTAAGTCATGAGTTGGATGTTCCTCAGAGACCTCCTAAGTGGAGTAAATAAATATTCAACTGGGATTGGGCGCATCTGGCTAGCTGTTATGTTCATCCTTCGGTTGCTGGTCTACATAGTGGCTGCAAAGCACGTGTGGAAGGATGAGCAGAAAGAGTTTGAGTGCAACACTAGACAGCCTGGCTGTGGAAATGTGTGCTTTGACTACTTCTTCCCCGTCTCCCAGGTCAGACTTTGGGCTTTACAGCTGATCATGGTCTCCACGCCCTCTCTCCTAGTAGTTCTACATGTGGCCTATTGTGAGGGGAGAGAAAAAAAGCATGGAAAGAAACTCTATGACAGCCCAGGCACCATGGATGGGGGCCTATGGTACACCTATTTGATTAGCCTCATTGTCAAAACTGGTTTTGAAATTGGCTTCCTTGTTTTGTTTTATAAGTTGTATAGGGGCTTTAGTGTCCCCTACCTTATGAAGTGCGATTTGAAGCCTTGTCCCAACACTGTAGACTGCTTCATCTCCAAACCCACTGAGAAAACCATCTTCATCTTCTTCTTGGTCTTTACCTCTTGCTTGTGCATTGTGTTGAATTTCACTGAACTGAGCTTTTTGGTTCTTAAGTGCTTTATTTAAAGTGCTATCTCCAAAAAAATTCTAAAAAGTTCAGCTCCTCAGTGTTGAGTGCCACAACCTCAGATATGTTGAATATGGTGAAATAGGGGACCCTCTTCTACTCCAGAATCGTGATGCAGGCTTGGGCATAGGCACACCCCAGCAACCTGAAGCAAAGCTACTTTGCTGTACATTAGAGAATTAAATAAAGAAAACCAGTATCCCTACTAAACAAGACCTAAAGTAGCTTGGAAAACCAAGGGTGTTAGCCTTGATATTATTTGAAATTAAAGACTGTTTCAATATGCTCTCAGATGTAAATGCTACACAGAGGACTCATTATTTTGTGGTAGGGATCTCTTATGTCTATACACAAGTTGTTTTTCAGTTAGTTAATTGCAAATTAGTCTAGAGAAATACAACCAACAGCATTCTTTCAAGAGTTTAGATCAGAAAAGAATCTCTATATTAGTTTTCTATTTTTCTGTAACAACTTTACTACAATTCATGCAGAATGAACTGAACAATAAAAATGTGTCCCTTTTGACAACTATAGTGGCCTCCAAGCTGACAAGACACTGGTGATCTCCAATTGGCCGTCAAGGCTCCACTCACTTTTATACTCAACCTTTATAGAGGGGGACTGTACTGTAGCAGCTATATGGGGCACACAGAGGCACCCCCAAAGAGAAGAGAAAACCTGACCTGAGAAGGCCCAGAGTTCAGGATTCATCAGTTTAGGAGTCCTTGGATATAAGTGGGCCAGGGGAGAGGAGGAAAAGCCATCATTTAAGTGATCTCTAAGTTAAGCACAAATCCTACTGGAAGATAACCTACTTAAGTCTTTAGTCATGGGGGAAGGCAAGTACCACAGACAACAGAACACTGATAGGGAGCATGGGAAGTCACAGAAAAAGAATACTCTCACTTGGTAATCATTTTACACTTTTCTTTAACCATAAAACACTGAAATACTTTGTAAATTTCCATACTGTTAGACCTTTTTATACCAGAACAGTATGATGTAACTATAAATATGACACAATTTGCTTATAGTAGCACATCTCTAGGATAATAAAACCTATGTACTAGGCTATTACAGTGGATCAAATAATGTAAGAAAGAAAAATCACTATCATTTGTTTTTAAGACTAGAACTTTTTACTTTTCTATTTTTAAATCCATAATATACTCTTTGAATTTGATACTTTAACATATGTGCATTGCTCTAGAATAAAAATTGTTTTATAATGTTATTTGGGTGCCATTGATATCTTTACTTGACTTCACCAGAGTATGATTATTCTATGAAAAAAAATTGTTCTGACAATTTTAGAACAAGATTTTCAACACTGCTTTGTAAAGATAGCTCAGAAATCATTCTATTCCCTTTGGAATTTCTTAACAGAAAGTCACTATAAAATGCAATTTTAACTAAAACCAATTATTCATGTCTTCCATGTCTTGACAACCTCAGAATAAAATGTCTCCTTACAATATGCACAGCGAAGGTTATTCGGGTTATTATGTAGTCTCCAGACCATGTCACCAATAGTGCTCATAATCTTTATCTTAAAGTCTGTTTTGGAAAACAGAAAGATGATGAACTTTGTGGTTTCTCTTTCTTTAGTTCATACCACAGATCACTGCTGGACTTAAGAACTTACAATCATGTACTTTACCATTTAACATGAAAACATCTAGCCTTCATAAATGCAGGTAACCCTGGTTTTTAAAAATGATATGTGGTTAAAGAGGCTTAAGGTTTTGAGATCTGAGCCTGACATGGAATCTAGAAAATATGTTTGCAGGGGAGAAATGGAATAAAGACAGGGGACTTTTTTGGTCTGAGGAGGAGTTCACTGCAAAAAAAGTCTGGAGAGCTCAGCCTCCTCCCATGTTACCACAAGCTCTGCCCAAGTTACCGGGGTTGGTTGCCTGGGCATGTACATTGCTTGCTTCTCTACTTTAGAGATCAAAAGGTAATGTGAGCAAGGACAATGGAAATGAAGCCGTTCAAATAGAAAGGTGGGATGTGTACTCTAAGTTTATTGATACTTCTTTAACTTACAAAATAAGCTTCCTATAACCAGCTTAGTAGTGTCAGTGAAGACCCCAAACATTTGATTAAGAGAATTTTGTCATTTTTTTTATTGTTATTCAGTTTCTCAACAAATTAGTATTTATTGAGTACCTGGGAGCATGACATTGGGCTACCCACCTTCTGAGGCAGAATTTTTTTTCAAGTGCTTTTACAAAAGAATGCCCACAGCTGCAAGTAGCCGTGGTTCCAGTGGTCCTCCAGAAATGAAGCCAGTAGACAGTGAAGATGAGAGAGGAGGGGAAAAGGCAGACATTTGAATTCTTCGATCCTGTTGGCCCTGAGCCTGGCCCCACTGCTCCACTTTATATGAAAGATAAATAATGTTTTTGCTTAAGCTGTTTCAAGTTAGATTTCTGTGTTCTGCAACTGAGAGTCCTGATAAAATGACTTTCTGCATACATTTCTTTCCCTATATAATAGTAAGAGAGGTAGAACACTTCTCTTGTACTGACCCTTTCAAAACTTCCAAAATTTGATACTGTACATGTATTTGTATAAATAGGGGGAAACTATAGAGCTCTCAACAATGGTTTCAACAAGAGGAAGAGCTTAACTTTGTCTTTTTATTCTTATTATTTCACATTACTTTTGTTCTTATACTTTAAATAAATAATTAAAAGCCCACAGTGCCCTGAATCTCCTTATTCTAGCTCACATCCTGTCACATACATGTTATCACTTTGCTTAAATACTGATGTCAACTTATTCCTAATTTAGTTTAATTTTGTTTGTATATTTTAATACTGCACAGAGGACAAAAGAGGGGTATTCAATTTTTTTTTAAATGGATGAGGAAAGAAACAGTAGCGGATCATGTGAAAGGAAAAATGTCAGCATACACATGAATTTTTATAACAAAAGCCTGAGGAGGTGTTGTGGGAGAGGTCTACCAGAAATACTTTCTCTAAAATAAAATTGGGAACCAGGTATTGTGGTGCAGGCCTGTAATCCTAGCCTCTTGGGAGGTTGAGGCAGGAGGATCCTAAGTTCGAAGACAGCTTTGGAAACTTTTTGAGACCCTGCCTCAAAATAAAAAAAAATAAAAAGGACTGGGTATGTAGCTCAGCAGTAGAGAGCTCATGGGTTCAATCCCCAGTATCACAAAATTAAAAACAGATCCTTTTTCACAAAGGAAACTTCCTTCATCTACAAAAGATACTGGGGGTTGTGCAGGAGTTCAGAGAATTATCCATAGATCCATCTTCTTTCTACTCTGTCAAATAATCTGACCAACTTTCCTATACTGAGATAATTTTCTCACATATTGCTTGAAAGCAAAGTGAAATGAGTTCTGGATGCTACATAGGTCAACATTTCCACCTATTTTAAAGGTGGTGTTTCAGGTCCTTCTCTAGCTTAGAGAGATTAAATTTTCTATAATTATTATTTTTAAATTAAAAAAAACTAGGTAAGGGGCTGGGGATGTGGCTCAAGTGGTAGCATGCTCGCCTGGCATGCGCCGGGCGCTGGGTTCGATCCTCAGCACCACATAAAAATAAAATAAAGATGTTGTGAAAACTAAAAAATAAATATTAAAAAATTCTCTTAAAACAAACAAACAAAAAAACCTAGGTAAGGCAGCACACACCTGTTATCCCAGGTACTGAGGAGGCTGAGGCAGGAGGATTGCAAGTTCAATGCCAGTCTGGGCAACCTAGTGAGAGCTTGTCTCAAAATAAAAATATAACTGGGGATGCAAGTCAGTGGTAGGCAGTGCTTGCCTAGCATACATGAGGTCTTGATTTCAGTCTCTAGTATTAAAAAAAAAAAAAGGGTGGGGAATTTTCAGAGAAAAAGGATATATATATATATATCCTTTATATATATATATAAAATAGAAATTATATATACATATATATATGTATATATAATTTCTATTAATTCTTTTTTAAAAATATTTTTTTTAGTTTATAGTTAGAAACAAACCTTTATTTATTTTTATGTGATGCTAAGAATAGAACCCAGTGCCTCAGACATACTGGTGAGTGCTCCACCACTAAGCCACAACCTTGACTCTACAATGTTACTATGCCATCTTGTGGCCTCTTACTCCCGTGCAACTCAATACTGAACTACTATACAAGGCCTACAAAACTGATCATCTTATACACATACACACACACCAGATTTTTACATGTAGCTTGTAAATTAGCTGCACCTTCAATGAAGCCTGACTGCATTCTAGCAAAAGCTGACAAACTTTATGTCAGAAAGATAGATACTGGCTGGTAACAAGTGAAACAAATCATGTAATTTTAAAAAATGTGCTGAGAAAGGTACTCAAAAAAACATGAATATTTATTGTGTAGATTATACATACACATTCACTGAAAAGGAGGGTAGGCAATTTATTTTTTAGCTGTAGTTGGACACAATATCTTTGTTTTATTTTTATGTGGTGCTGAGGATCAAACTCAGGGCCTCATACATGCTAGGCGAGTGCCTACCACTAAGCCACAATCCCAGCCCAGGCAACTTTTTTAATCAGGCCAATATGAACTTGAAATCTGATAAAGATGGGATAAGAAGGTGATAGCAGAACTTTAATGTATATGTCAAATGGTGACATGAACTTTCTTCTGTCAGCGTTACAAAATGTACTACCATGTTTTTGTTAAAAAAAATCAACAAAATGTGTACCTATACCTGTACATATCAACTACTATATACATTTTCCTTTAATCGGTAATCTTAGATTGTTAACCTGAATCAACGAAAACATGTAGGTCTCTTGGAATAATTTTCAGGTGAATAAAAACTGAGGGCTGGGGTTGTGTCTCAGAGGTAGAGCACTCGCCTAGCAGGTGAAAGGTGCTGGGTTTCCATTCTCAGCACTAAAATAAATAAATAAATAAATAAATAAATGTTGTCAAAGACACAGTGCCAGCTAATTCTTTTTTTTTAAATTTTGAGACAG